AAATAATGTTCTTTTTAGCAGCATCATATGACCCCTTTAAGAATTGAGCGCATTAGAAGACTTCAGTGTTTAGGTTGTTTTTTCTAGACAGCAATGAAATTAAAGAGCGCTTAAGACCATTTGAGGAGTTTCACGTTATGTGTTTAATGTGTAAATTGTTACGGCGTTCAAAACATGGAGAGTCTGCTTCACTAGAGATGATTGATGTGAGCGGCGTTACGCAGCTAGGCAAGGTTACACGACTTTACAGAGCCTGTCAGTCAGTCTGCCGCTCCTGGTGACTGACGTCTGAGTGGATCTGACCGCTGCTTGGCACTGATCTCTGAACGCCGCAGTCTGTCTGCACGTCAAAACAGCTGCTGATAACATCTGAGCTGAAAAACTGACAGAGATATTACCTTCCTGCTCACAGGGTCGATTATGCTCCGAGTCCTCACGGACGGCCGTAACGCATCTACCGGAGACGTTAAAATACAACACAACAGCTGTAAAACGGTTTATTAGCTCTGATTGGACCAGTGGGACTCACTCGACCTGCAGCGCATGCATGAATATGAGTATGCCAGGGTTATCATAGTTAACTAAAACTAGAACAATATAAAACCTTTCTCACACGAAACTACATTTTGTATAATGCTATAAAAGTTTTAATTATAGGTGGGGTAAGCGATTTCTGGTAGCCAATGTTGACATTTGAAATCACCAAAACAAACACGCCCCTACCCCAAAATGGTCTCGCCCCTATTTTGATAGCTCCGCCCCACACATACGTACACAACCCAGGCAATGATTAGTTCTGAAACAAAGCAATGTTACACCGTGTCTACACCGGACGCGAGTGGCGCGGCGCGACAAAATACTATAGAACTCATTATAATGAGTGATGCCGTCTACACCATAGATATATTTACACGGGTCCTACTTCTTGCCTTATTGCCTTAAGCCTTCTTTTTGATCCTCTTTTGTTTTTTTTATCCACCATCTCTATCTTTCTGTCTCTCGGCTCGGATAATGTCTGTCCCATGCACTGAACGCTCTCTCCTCCACATCATGAGTAAACACGCCTCTTACTGCTGATTGGATACACGTTTGTTTTGCTATTCGGCCCGAATCAGTTTTCTAAAGCGTTTTTGAAAAATCGCTTACCCCACCTTTAACATTTAAAAACAAACAAACAAAAAATTTCAGCCAATTGCCAACGCATCAGTTCTCACTTTCATTTATTTTCATTTAATAACTAAAACTGAAATAAAACTGAAAAAAAAAAAAACTGCATAGACATGGACAAAAAAAAAAACAACAGAAACTGAACAAATAACAAAGAAACAAAATTATTAATAAAAACTAATATTAAACAAACATTATTAAAATGACAAAAACACACAACAAAATTAAAAAGAAAAGAGAAAATATACAAATACGTCTAACTTAAAATATCAATAAAACTAAAACTGAAGCGAAAACAGAAAAAAAAAAAAAAACGAATTCAAGAAAACTATAAAGACATTTTAAAAAAAACTAAAACTGAAGCGAAAAAAAAAAAAAAAAAAAAAAAAACGAATTCAAGAAAACTATAAAGACATTTTAAAAAACAAAAACTTATAACAAAAAACACAACCAAATGACTAAAATAAAAAATTAAAATAAAAAAGCGTTTTTGAAAAATCGCTTACCCCACCTTTAACATTTAAAAACAAACAAACAAAAAATTTCAGCCAATTGCCAACGCATCAGTTCTCACTTTCATTTATTTTCATTTAATAACTAAAACTGAAATAAAACTGAAAAAAAAAAAAACTGCATAGACATGGACAAAAAAAAAAACAACAGAAACTGAACAAATAACAAAGAAACAAAATTATTAATAAAAACTAATATTAAACAAACATTATTAAAATGACAAAAACACACAACAAAATTAAAAAGAAAAGAGAAAATATACAAATACGTCTAACTTAAAATATCAATAAAACTAAAACTGAAGCGAAAACAGAAAAAAAAAAAAAAACGAATTCAAGAAAACTATAAAGACATTTAAAAAAACAAAAACTTATAAAAAACAAAAAACACAACAAAATGACTAAAATAAAAAATTAAAATGAAAACAGAAAAAAATGTAAATAAAACAGAAAATACAAATTCAAAATATTAATAAAAATCATATACATATTTAAAAATATATAAAATACAACAAAATTACTAAGAATAAATTGAAATAAAAACAGAAATATGAACATAAAACTAATTTAAATATGAATACAATTATGAACACATTAAAAAACTAATTACAAAAACAACAAAATTACAAAATTATCAAAACAAAAATTCCAAATATTTATAAAATAAATATATTTAAAAAAAATACAAAAATTGTAACTAAAATTACAATGAAAACAGAAAATATAAAAATAAAAAATTATTCTGAATATTATAAAAAACTATATACACATTTAGGAAAAAATATAAAAATAAAAATGAATTCAAAATATTAATAAAAACTAAAACAGGGGTGTTTGCCAGTGCAAAGTCTATGAGGCTGTTCCACATGGTTTATTGTCCATCAGGCAAAAAGTCTGATCACTTAGAAAAGTAGCAGCACAACTTTCCTCAACAACAGTTCATAGCACAAACTCTAAAAGCTTATGGGTTTGTTACAGTCACTAACTGTAAGAATGAGCGATAGCTTCTGCAAACAGCACTAATAATGTTTGTTAAAGGTTTGATGTATAATTAAAGCTCTAATTAGAGCAGGTCAGAGGAATAATCCCAGGTTTTGAACAAAGAGCGATTTCTGCTGGTTCAGAGTCAAACGCTGTTGTTGAATTATATGCTACAGTGCTTAAAAGGATCACCATGGTAACAGCGAGGAGAAACCCCCAACAACAGTCATTAATAACCCAGAGATACTGTACTGGGAAAAACGCAGAGAAATGAAACAACAGCAAACTTACTTCTGCTGCTGCAGGAGGTGAAATGAATCAAAAAAGTTAATTTATATGAAGCACAAGGGAGCACATTAAAGCAGAACCGCTGCTTTCCAAACATGAAAACGCCATTTACCCTGCAAGCACCGCAATTACAATCAAACTATAAAACACTGCATATGTCACGTACTGTATATCTAAGAAAGTATATCTCAGCATGTCTTCTGCAAAAATGAACACTTTGAAACAAGCAAAATACTTAAATACAGCAAAATAAAATACAATACAATACAATATGGTAAGTAACTAAAACCACAAAAACATGAAAATAATAGGATCTAAATACCAGAAAGAAATGCTTAAATATTGTACTAAAAATTAAAAAGTTTGGGGATTTTTTTAATGAAATTAAATTTAAAGATTTAAATTTAAATTTTAAATTTTAAAGATTAAATTGAAAGAAATTAAATACAAAATGCAAAATTATAAATAAAACTATTTTACATTTTATTGACATTACTTTTAAATAAATAAATAAATAAATAGTCCTTGAAATCAGATGACGTTTTGGTTTAAGTATTTGTAATTTCCTTAATATTCATTGCTTCTCATAAAACGAGTTTGCTTACTGTTGCTTGATTTTAGGACATTTTTGGCTCCAAGTTTTTCTCATCTCAAAAGCAGCACTTATCACACAGTTGTTTCATAAGGTGCATGGCTTCCACCAGACTCTAGAACATCTAAACAGCAGTTTTGTAGAGAGCAAGGATCACCTGTGAGCAGGAGGAGCGTGTGTGGTGTTGAAGCACGATACATACTGTAGGAAAGAGGAACGTCCAGGTCGCCCTGCCAGGACAGCTGCCCGGGATCATCTACAGAGTGCTGCGCTGCAGAAACACAAACACACACAAACACACACATTAACACAGCTCATGCTAACGTATGCACATACAGCTGACAAACATGGAGAACTTCACCGTCGGCAAGTATAAAGTCAACATCAAACAGTCCTGAACATTAATATAAACCATTTTAGCATGTATTAATCGTCAAAGGTTGTGCTTAAATGTCATCGACCAGAGTTTCGATCACAGTTTTACTATTTTTTACTGTATTTTTGATTAAATAAATGCATATGTATGTGTGTGTATATATATATATATATATATAT